TTAGTACGTATATCAAAATATTGATAATGATAATAAATGATGAAATACGCTAGAAATGATATCAGACCAGCGGCAGTGATATTGTTTGATGCATGTATTAGATGATAATAAGGTGGTTGGTATGCTGACGATTTTCAAAAAAATATTAAAAATAATTTTAAAAGTGGTTAAAATAGTAACCACCGCACCTGAACGGTAAAAAAAAAGTGGTTAGCATACTAACCACGGCCCCTCAAAGAGTTAAATAGGTACAAGTTAAAATAATATAATCAAGTATCAAAAAAAGTTATTATTTTTATTTTGTACCCCGATTGTTTTCTTTTTCTGCTCTTGTAAAATGTGCATAAAATAAGTTCTTATTTCAAAACGTTATTTAAATTTATAATTTAAAATAAGTAAGTACCAATAATCAATAGAACATTTTAAGACCAGTTGCAACAAACCCGACATAATATTTCTCTCAATGACTGAAGTCTGCTTGAAGTCGTATGCATGAATATTATAATAATTCAAGATGTAAATTGCAATAAGAACATAGATTCCAATAATTACGGTCGAGACTTTAATGGAAAAAAATGTTAACAGTTAATGATAGGTAATTAAAAATAGGTATACCTATTGTTTTTATTTTTATATATGTAGGTGTATATTTCTATGCATATATATGGACTTTCTTATTGAGCTTTAATTTATTCATATCTTCATTCTAAGCTTATAAAATATAAATACCACTAGAATATGTATAAAGCAATCATCAGATAGGTACTTGGACATATATTTGCACCTGAAAAGCGAAGGTTCATTTAGACGATACATGTATTTTAATCGTTACAAGGATAATAATTATTATTGTTATAATAATACATCCAATTAGTATTTTTTTTTCATAATTGATTTTTCTTTGCAATACTGTGCCATTACTAAATAGGCGCTAAAAAGTGTTTAAGAAATTAAAAAGTATAAAATTAAAGTTTTAGTTTCAAAATTATTACGATTTGGTTAATACAATACAATTCGCTTCACAGTTATTTTAAAATATTGGATTTTATTGAATTTTAAATTAGTAATAAAATAATAAATTATATATTAAATACTGTAATAATTAAATAACACTTTGGAATGTTTTTACCATCATGTATTTTGAAATAAAATTAATCAGATAAAAAAAAAAAAAAACAAAGAATGTATTGGTTTCACCATGTCATTTTTAATAGATTTATTTCGGAAATCACTTTTTGAGTATTAACATAAATGAAGTTCCATGAATTACCTACATATAAATAGTCAATGATGATGAAGGATAGTTAAGCATATTAGATATATTCATTACAGTTTATTTTGTTCATATTTAGCAATCGTTTTCGCGAAATTCACTAAAAACTAAATTCATTTTGGAGAAATACTTTTTCCAATAAAGAATACAGGCCTAAATCTCAGTATCTGCTGCACTTTTCAAAATAAAATTACATCGATAATTAAGTGGTACAATGTAAATACATTGTTTTTATGGGAAAAGTAATAATAATTGCTAGACATTTTTGGAAAAATTCAAACACTTTCCAGCATATTTGAGTATAATTTATGCTTTGTTTTCAAGCAATCGAGGTGCTCTATGTAACTTTTAGTTATTTTACTGCCTAGAAATAGATTTGAGAAGAGTCCTTTAAAAATGCCATACCTGCATAGTTTCTAAACCATTAGTTCTCTCGCTTACCTTAAAATCTATTGATAGGCATTCTGGGCATTCATTTATATTTTATGCACCTAGCGCTGTTTGTTACATTATTATTAATAATAATACTAATAATTTATTTATTACGTTAATAAATTCCAATAACAGAAGAGTTTTTTTGTATACACAATATTCATTAGGTAACAGAAAAATTAAGATAATTCATTTTTATAACTATACATGTAAAATAAAAAAACAAATTAAATATATGTATTATATGAAAATTACTTGTATATTTATTGTAGGTAGGTATATGATTTAAATATTTGATGTACATTTTCTTGCAATTATCAATGCAACATGTACTATTATTTAAATATCCCAGACTGTATACTTAAAATGTAACGAAAAGATTTTTTGCTGGGTTACATCCCTACTACAGAAGCTGTACAGTTTACGTCTATACTATACATTGGTAATACGCATGTATGAAAATGTATAACTGTAAAAAATTCATCAGCTAAAATATTATACTGGTTTGAATAGACATTATAAGTGGCTCTTAAAAAGTTTATAATTAACGCCTAAACGCCTTGTTACTATAATTTATTATATTTTCCCATAAAGATTAATTAATGTTTATAAAAAGGTATTATATGACTATATAATATAACGAAATAATACAACATTTCATATTTTTTTAATAATAATATCAAATATCATATTCATTTTCAAGGATTCGAAACTGTCAAGTAACAGTACCTAGGTACTTTTCGTACGTTTTGAAAACAATTGCAGATCCATGTGTGTGTAAAATAACTTGATATCTCAACAGTATTTCTGTTTTTCTTGTTTCCAGTCTTTCTACTGTTTCGGTCAACGAATACCAATCTTGAGTAATTTAAATCTCTTAAAACGCGGGTGTATTTCGGTGTTTGCCCCATTAAAATATCTTTAATAATATATTTGACTTTAGGTACCTAATTACTAAAAATTAATATTAAATAAGTAGTGACTAGATTTTTATATTATAAGAATTAAGAACCATGGAGAAAAACAAGAACATCACAACGAAAATTCATCTAACGACACGACTTCGTGGTTTAAACTTTGAACAAACCGGGGAACAGACCATACTACAATAGTCTAAATTAACATGCTTTATTGTAGCCAAAATGGTTTTAAAATAATCACTTGGTATTAGAGATTTAAAGAGGGCTGAAAAACTGTTTACTAATCGCTGACTTTGTACCATTGATCGTGTACCTATATAGTAAAATACTGAAAACAGTTTAAACGCTATAAAAAATATAAAGCAAATAACTATAGAATAAACTATCCATCTATATATTACAGTTTTTCATTCAATGGATTGTATAATAATTTAATCCTTAATGGGTGTAACCAGTTATCCATGTTTGTAGTTTAATTTACTACACATATAAATATGTCAGATTTCATACTGTATTATTTACCTTGTCAATAGTTCATTTAGTACCTATTGATATCGAATTATAATATTTATATTATACAAGTAGAGCTTGTGATATTAGTTTTTTTATTATTGTTAATGTATCAATTACAAGGTGATTAGCTTACAATAATTATTATTAAACAGTTGGACTTTGATTATTTAGGTAGTATAATATATAGAGTGATATTTACATTAAATTTACATTATATTCAGTTGTAGATACAATTCAATATAATTATTTTTTTTTTTGGTATCTGCATAGGGCCTTATAGCTTTGTTATAGTACTGTTATCAGTGCGTTAAAGCCTTAAATACAACTATATTTTTGGTCGTTACTCTTACTAAGCTTAAAATGAACATATATTATGCATGATAAAAATATACCTACGAATTACATAAATAAATAAATATATTATATTTATATTATTTAATATCATGAACCGTGTGGCATACAATACCTAATATAAGAGTAAATAGGAGTACATACAACCATTAAATATAAATTACGTTATATACATAATATTACTATGTACCTACCTGTACGTTTTTAGTTGTATTTTAGACGCTGTGTTATTATTAAATACTCACGGTTGTAGTTGTTCAATTATTACAGTATATACGCTATTAAAAATTTTATGAGAGAGTTTTCTTGACCACAAAACATTTTATATTTAGGTACATCGATAGTACCTATACAAACATTACACAAGAAACTATATATTTAACCTTATATAGATGCTGGGAACTGCTTTCATCCTTTAATATTTCTTTTTTACTTTATTCTAACTAATAATTATATTATTCGAGTTGAAAAATAATTTTAAAAAGTAGGTACAAGTGTAAGCATCAACGTGTAGTTAGGTACCTATATTAATACTCACTTTGGTCACTATTTCTGTGGGTAAGCGTATAGATCGGATAACTACATAACGCTTTTTTGTTTATATAGGAACATTAAATGACAATACCTACTGCTGACTTTTAAAAAGTGTGATTTTCTCATAGTATACCTAGTGCAGGTACTCGTTCATAACGATTTTGGCATCAACAGCTGAATTGGTTCCCATTTGGCCTAATTGATTTCCGTTTAAATATTTGATGTATCCTATTACTATTCGAGTTGGTACCCGCTTTTCACTGTAAGATAATTGCCTTCAAGTACTCACATTTCCCTTTCCATTTTTACTGGCTTAGGACTGCCAACTTAGAAGTAGGTACCTAATAATAATAATTGAAAACAAATAAACGGAATTTGAAATTTAAGATTGTCGGGGTGAAAATTTGAAGAAAACTTTCTTCAAATATTACGATTATCGCGTATACAGTTTTTTTAGTATGATTAAAATAAAAAATATACTATTAAAATATAAAATCTGAACTATGCATATTGATACCAGCTTGGTAATAGAACTGAAACAGATACGGGAACCTATTCAGCTCTCCTGAAAATACGTTTTTAAACGATGAGAACCAATTCGGTACCAGCCACGCCTATGGTGTCATATTATATAAGATGTATTATACTGTATAAGGGGTTTTCTGTTCACCGCATTTATTATATACGCTGTTGTTTATAATTTTGTCTATTATAAATATTATAATATTATTATTATGTTTTGCAGGCCTCGACGACGACGTTCACCCGCAACCGCGGTCAGGTGTTAGATCACTGGTGCAGTTCATTGATCGTTTATCACACTAAATCATTATACGCTACCTAGGTATATGATTTCTGACATGATAATAATATGATGATGAGAGGGGCCACCTACCATATTATTATCATATAACACGCACGATCTTGCTGCCCCGTCGCCCCGACTGCAATACTGCAGGGGCCCGCGCTGCAGCACCATGTACCGGTCGAACTTTTACGAGAGCACGTGCCTGCGATGCTACCAGACGGTGTACCAGGTGGACCGGGTGGGCCCGCTCAAGGACTTCACGTTCTTCCACAGCGGATGCTTCAAGTGCGTCGTGTGCGGTACGAAGCTGACGCTGAAGACGTACTACAACAACCAGCACCGGCAGGAGGACAAGGAGGTGTACTGTTCGAGCCATGTGCCGAAAATCGGGCCGGGCCACCTGGACGGCACGTCGGTGGGCATCAGGAGCGCGCTGAACGTGCCCAAGTCGACGACGTACGTCAACGACCAGATACGCGGCAGCGGCAAGGGCACGTTCGACGCCGAGGCGCTCAACATCAAGCAGCACCTCAACGGCTCGACGCCCAACAACCGCGCGCAGTCGCCGCTACCGGTGCCGTACATCGGATCGTCCACCCCGGACACCGGTTACCAGTACGGCCGGTTCGACGCCTCGGCGCTGCACATTGCGCACGCGCTCCGCGCCACCGAACTCCACAAATCGTACCCGAACAAGAACGGCGTCCGGGAGAAGCCCATACACTGTTATTTGGTGAGTGTTCCGATTCCGATGTGTATAATTAATAATTGTATAATGCATAAGTGCATATTTGATTGCATTTTTTTTGACATTTTTAATCCATTTGTAGTACGTTAAATTAACATCCGTGATAATTTTTATACTATGTTTTTGGGTGCTACCACCGTACGTGGTAGACATTTTTTCCACACAATTTCTCAAAATGTATTGGGGGCTAACTTCCCCTTAAATAATATTATCTCAAAGTTAGGTAACCGAATACGCCTGTATCGTAATACGTAGGTGCGTAATAGGTATATCTAATAAAGTTGTTAATTTTTAAAATCATTTTTGATTTATATAAACAACAACATAATAAGGTACTTATCATATACGTACAAATTATAAATGATACCTAGTAGGTACCTATATCATTAATTATTTTAAGTATATGTACCTACTAACTACTTATTAGTCGTTGTTAGTATGTATTATTATTAATTTTGTTAATCTCACTGTAGTGACATTGGGGCCTACCCACCTCTTTGCACGTTTCTCGGCGCAAGTACCTACACTGAAACCAAAAATTGTGTTAGGTAACAAAATAATTGATTTTAGAAATTTTAAATTAGTGATCTACGGAATATAAACATAAACATTGAGTATAAGTAAACAAAACATTTTTTCAAATTAGAATAAACGACACAATTGAATCCCTAACTACGTACAGCTTAAATTGAAAACAAATTTATCGATGGACACAAACACTGTAAGATATCAGTGCCTTATCACCCGGCACCTGTTGTCTAATATTTATATACATACGTATACAGGATGAATCTATAATAGTTATATTCATCCCGTATTTTACAACTACAGGAATATACTTGGTGGTACATGAATGGTACATTTACTACTTCAGGATGGTATATAATTTTATTGAAACAGTCAGTATAAGGAAGTTTTTGTAATCCCTTTCTTATTTCCTTCTATATAGAAACGCACGGATATTAAACTTGCTGTACATTTTAAAATTCAAGACATATATAGGTATACAACAATCTTCTCGGTCGAATAAATACAATATTATACAATAAATTATTCAGCCCTTATATTTTTATGGATATATAGGTCAATAATTCACCTATATAATATTATATGCATTGAAAATTGAAACGCTTAATAGTTTTCGATGTATATTTTATAGGAGGCACCTACTATGTTTTTTTCTGACTATTTGATTTATTTTCAAATGTTTAGTCTGTATGTACGCGTGTACTTACATCATTTGCATAACATGAAACAATACAACGAATACATTATTATACTTACGTGTATACCCATCATGTGTGCGAACCATTTGTGGTTAAAACAATTAAGAATCGGCGAAAGGTCTTTTTAGATTATTTTACGTAATACACTCGAGTTACGCGTTGCACACGTTTGGAATGCTTAGAACATTAACACCCAAACCTCTTTCTATTATATTATGTACATCATTCGTCAATCGTTTTTCCCATAATTGAAATATGTTGAAATTCGAGTCTATAGTACCTACCTACAGTATCTACTATGCATATAAAGTGTTAAAAGTAAAAGAAAACCTGTGTTGTATAGCATCGTTAATGCAATTTATCTTTATGTTAAAAAACTGATTTGCCATCGAATTTATCACTAATTGTTTTTGACGACTTCACAAAGCAGTCATAAATATTATTTTTAACTTCGAATACCTAACGATTTTGTCATATTGTTTACTCATGATGTATAATGTGTTAAATATTAAATATAAATAACGGAAGGGGTAATATGATTTTGAATTATTATACAATATTATGGTTTGGGTGTAATTCATTGATAGTTGATACATTTATTAATTAGATAATCCCAAAATAAAATTGTTTATATCCTAAAGAAGTACACATAATGTAACACCCGTTATCGATTCTTGTATTTTTTTTTCAAAAAAAACCTGCAAAATATATTTGATACGCTTAATTTTTATCATTATTTGTCATTCACTAATAGTTTTTTTTCAAAGCATTAGTTCCATTAAAACTAAAAGAAAAACATTTACCCAATAGTTAAATGCTAAATCAACTATCAGTATTATGTCAATGTGTGTGAGTATTTCACTTAATACTGGATTCTTAGAACTCTATAGTTAATTTGCTACTCTCGGAAGGAAAGTAGTAGGTACTGCTGTTAATATACTTCAATACAATTTTCTCATTTTATTTAACGTCTCTATGAAATAATCAATGGAGTAGGAACAAAAACAATTATTTTATTCTGGTTAAATAAAAAAAATAATAATATAGAAGCCTGTCGGTAAAATATGTAGGTACATACCTATAGACTATAACATTGGTAGGACATATACAATGTTCTGTTGTTGAAATGTTTTGTTTTGTGTATTTAATTTCAAAAAAGTAAAATAATATATAGATTAAATAATGTGTAATAATATATTAAATCAAAAATCATTAAACAATATTAATTATTATTGTTTTTATTACATTGTTCACTATATAAGAGTATAATATAATATGGAGTAATCTATTTTTTCTAGTATACCTGTGTATTGAACAATTTCACCTTATTTAATGATAATAAGTAATAACTTTTAGAGTTGTGTAAAAAATATTGGCTAATTTTGAAGATAATTGTATTTTACTTAGAAAAGTCATGATATAATTTTTAAAAAAACATTATGACGGGTCATATTTCGCTGATATCTTTTACCAAATAAGAAAGCGAATAAGGCGAATTTAATTTTCAAACGGTCCAGGAAACAGGAAATTTTCTAAGTGAAAACAAAATCGTTCGGCTGTTGTAATCGGTCGGAAATGACTGGGCGCCATCCCAGCTGTGGTTCAAGCCATATACGAACATCACAAGAAAAAAAAATAGGAATAGGTACCCAAATCCAACGTACGGGCCTGCAGGTGAATAAAATAAAATTAAGGAAATATATTGTGTATAGGACGCCGCCGCCCTGAAAATCTTGGCGATTAATTTCATTACGAGCGTATAAATTCGGTCGAAAAGCGAAGACCCGACGTTTTCATTATATTATATATACGTACCTACAACACTCGTATTAATTTTGGTATTATTCTGATAGTCTCTCTCCCTCTCTCTCTCGTGCACACACACATATAGTATAATAGTAAATAATAGCCGACGACAACGACTATATAGATACATCGGTGGCGGAGGTGCAGGTAGCGTACCGATCGTTGCGCGCGGTGAATGGAATGTCGACTCGGGGAATGAAGTGCAATGACAGTGTTCTTTTAGAATTTTGCGGTTCTCTCTGGCTGCGGTGTGCAGACCTATTGCAATTTATTTTTCTAGTTCACGCTTTATTTGGCTCATATATAATATATATATATACACACACACGCACACAACCACACAGTGTATTAGATACGGTAAATATTGAAACGGAATTACAATACGAATAATAATAATAATAATAAAAAACGAAAAAGAAGATGCGGTGGACGAAAAAAATAAAAAAATAAAAAATATATTACTGAGTCGATTCGATTTTTGTGGAATTAAAATAAAAAATTGCGGTAATGAGAGTTGATTTAACATATTATTATATCTTTTAGTTCGATGTCCGCATGTACACGTTAAAACAATATACAATAATTTGACTGCGAACGACACCTCGGTGACTTTAACAATCGTCACGAATTCGTTGTAGACGTATATAATATCTACCTATATATGTATAACAATAAAATATCATGTGGCTATGTGTGTGACACATTCCATCGCATATGTAGGTACGCCGTTTTCGCAGCGGAGACGTGGGTTAGGTCTTTTCGGCCTACAAGTACTAGAAACCTCGCACAACACCACAAGGACATATTATAATATCATGCAAAAAGATTATCACCGTGGTTAACAGAAAACAAAACCATCTTCATCGTATTACCAATGACGATAGCAATGCACTGTTATATGTACCTGCAGTTTTAAAATTTTCAGGTATATCATTATCATAAGCACGAACGATATACCTATATACAAGTAAGGTTAGACTAAGTTTAACCGTGTTCGTTTAGACGCTTTTTGCACAAAACCATAGCTATATTGAACAAATTAGATTAGATGTGTCCTTGAGGCACTTGATATTTCCTGTAGTATACCTATACGGTGAAATATAAGGCTGTAATCGCCTCACGCACTATCGTCCATCCCATAAAATTAAACACATATACTGGGCAATTCTTCTTATAACACACATTATCTCAAAAAGTAATTACGTTTTTGAAAATATTTTTTTTTACACAATTATAATATCAGTTTTGGGAAAAAATACCATTTTTTTTCGTCATCATTTTTTTTCTTCATTGGGTAGTCACTTTGTCATAATAATTTTGAACTGAAAATTTATTTATGTGATAATTATCTGATAATAATAATATGGCGTAGGTACTTGTACACTGTACAATAGTACTATTTTTAACAGAAACACAAGAAGTTTTCGAGTTTAATAGACATCGAAGCGTGTTTTAGATATTGTCAACGAATAAAATTTAAATAAAGTTCATACCTTTATGATTAAGGCTTAATCACTGATGTGGCACTAAAATATATTATTACAATAATAACTCAATTTTTTTAGACGTTGTTGCGTTAACGATACATTGGAAATTCGAACATATATTTTAATATTATGAAATCATATTTAATAGATATCGTGCGGGTCACACTAAATAAAAATGTATTGTATTTTCTTATTTTTTTTTACAGTACCTATTCTAAAAATCTAAACAATAAGAATATTTAGGGACATTAAATGAATCGTGAAAAACACGATTTAAACATATTGTGTCCTCTATTATATTACGTGTATAACATGTGAAGCATTCCAAGGATTTTATTTATATATAGTAGTCAAAGTCGACTGTCACGCAACCGTTGAATTCCAAGACTACACGATTAAAAAAAAAAAAAAAAAACATGTATTTTCGCAAAAAATAAATGATAAACCATACATAATTTATGTATAGAAGATGTAGGTAGGTAGGTAACCTATGTTATTATTATTTTAAACGATGCGATTGCGAGTGGCGCACAATATTTCACGATTTTCGGATTTTCATTCTAACCCAGAAAAAAAAAAACGTACGGTATGCGGTTGTACGGGTGTAACAATATTGTGTATTATGATGATGCCGAAAAAAGCGTAACGCTATCTCCCGCGATCGTTGTGCAGTAGTCGTGGCCGATGAACGTATAAATCGCACGAATTACGAGCGCCATTATAATATTCTTGAAACGTCCGATACGTAGAATACTGTGCAGCGAACGCTCCGCATTTCGTGCCGATTGATTTTAATTCACACTAATTAGTGGTCATCACTGCTAAATGTATATAATAATTTAATAAACCCCAAATCACACGCGCGAGAATTCCTAATTGTTGTATACAAATATACAATACTGCTGCAATGCCGCTGCACTGCTGCTGCATGTGCAACGCATTATAATATATTATTATTATTATTATCACTGTTATTGGACGTCGGGCAACGCGGCCGTTTCCTGTTTTAGTCAATTAAAAATTAGAATAAAAACTAGGTATACAATGACTCAACGCGGTAAATGTATATTAAAGTGCGATGTTGCCGAACTTACCCCGAAACGTATTGTGTATCCATGACGTCATGCTTCAATCATCACCTCCCTATAGATATACAATAATAATATAACATACATACATATAAAATATTATTATAAACTCACATTGTGGGTACCTACATATATATATATATATATATATGATTATGTGTATTACTTTCTTCGTCCAACCGCGCCGTGAACCGGTTTGGTTTCGTAGCACGGCTACGAATTTTATATTCCCCCCTCACCCTGCTTGGGACTAATGTTGTTTTCTTTTTCATTTTGGACTTTTCAGGCATTTAGGCCCCGCGGGCTAAAACGGTCAGTGAAATTTCTTTCTCCTCGCACGCGTTAATGTCAAATAAAACTGCTGTTGGCCGTCTATTTTGTAGTTGGCATTTTTTCTTTCAATTCGATAAAAAAAGATTGATAATATAATATTATATCCAATTTCCAATAACGTAATGGCCATGTTTGACGCAGGGTTTTATTAATTTATTTACGTTTTGAAAACTTCATAATATTGTCGCGATCGACATTTCGGAACATTGATCCCGATTAAAGAAATAAACAAATATTCAATATACGATTAAGAAAATCGAATATACATATTATATGAATCGGACTTGACGTTGATTGTACATAATATATTATTAAATTATAATGTCCATCCCACACCTAATTACTAAGTACACATTGCACACCTACATATACGACTTGGACGAGTGGCGTCAGTGGCCCGTTGTGCGAATATTAGACGTACCTTCGTCTGCAGCAATATTATATATATATATATGCGATATAGTGATGGTAATAATATTATGTGGCACGCCGGGAGAATACTGATGTATTGTATAGAGTTGGGTGATTTACAGGCGTGAAAAATCGGCACGAAATTTACGTGTTTATACAATGTCAATACCAAGGCACCGCGATATTAAGGTCAGCCGGTCACACACCTATTTATATACATACATGCATTTTATTATTGTTATTAGGTAGATTATTATTATTGTTATTGTAAACCAATGTATATGGCTAGTAGTAGGTACACACGGCGCTCACACGAGTCCATATTATGTCGTACGCGTATATTATAATCGTGAGGTAGCCGCAGCCAGGTAGGAACACGGTATACGCGGTATATACCTACGCCGTACGTTGACAGACGCGTAGGTATACGCGTTTACAATAATATATTGGTTAGGGAACGCGGTATGCGTACATATTATATGGTACCTACGTACCTATACAGTTTAATTTGGTAAGTAGTAACCGTATATGGTATAAGTAGGTGCGATTACTGCTGGGTGCCGTGGTATTTTTGGGACCAGAGGTACCTATATCATACGAGTACCTAGAGGTACCTATGTTATATAAATTGAACGGTCGGAAAGTACGAGTCATCTCACTATTACAACGATTTCGAAGACCTCCGGTGCCCGCGGGATCGTCTTTTTTCTCTCCCTTCAATTTATTTCCGATAAGCATTCTCGGCTAAGCAATCGCATCTTAAACAATCATTATTGCTACCGATCTGTGTGGAATTCCCCAAAGTCGAGTTACACCAGAAACGGATATGCGTATTAATTATTGCTTCAAATAATCCTCCGACACCAATACTATATAATGCAACAACCGTAGGTATCCATCTAACGGAGCTTGCTTGTAAGGCTGAGATTATAATAATATATTGACTGCGTATTGATTTACAACAAAAACTATACCGTCGTGTATTTTTTAATATTTATTTTGCGGTGATTGCAGACTAAAAGTTTTAGGGAATTTTATTTAATATATATATAAATATTTTACAACAACTATAAAAATGTATTTAAGTTTACTTTCTTCATTAATTAAAAAAAATATATTATGTATAGGTATAAAAATAGTTTTGTCAGCACTTCACTAATATTTTATTTAAGCCCGAACATTTTCGTGCATATTGATTCTAAACTTAATGTTTATTCTGTATTCATAATGTCAAAACTTCATTTGATTATTTTTACGACTAAAGTTTAATAATATATTTTATTAACAATTGTTTTTTTTTATGTATTTATAGGATAAAGATGAACAGACTAGGTTAGAAATGAAACATCGTAAAGAAGAAGACGATTTGTACAGGAAGTTTGCGAAGCAACGGGAAGCCGAAGACATTCGTATAAAGGAAGAGATAAACGTGAGAATAATAATTATCATAAACATTTTTTAATTGTTTTAACTCAAATTTAGAAATTGTCAAAGTGAACAATAATATTCATATTTAAATTCATGTTTTTTTTTTAACATTTTGGTATTATGATGACGTGTAGAACGAATGGGAAAAAGAATTGGAAAGGCTGACCATACGTTTTGAGAAGGAACTTCAAACGAAAAGAAAACGGCCGGATGAACAAAAAGTTCTCACGATAAAGTTGCAACAAGAACGAGACAATCTTGAAAAGAATATGACACTAAGGAGGGACAAAAAGAAAGAGTCGCTGACTAAAAAACTCTTGGAACATGAAAGGTAAGAGCCATGTGTGGATAAAATGTATACTCGATAGTAGATAATACAATTTATTAAAATTTTTACGGGATATCTTATAAAAAATATAATTATTGAATTTTTTTGCACAATACTACAAATTGCAATATCCGGTTAATATATTATAGCTCAAATTATGTGTAGACGTGATTAGGCATATGCCTTCATGATTATTATACATAACTTACACAAAAGTATAATGTACTACACAAAACAAAACTTGCCTATTAAAATTAGTGGCCAGTGGCAACGATGCTGCACACTTAAACTAATAAATCTGTTTGTCAGTATATAATCAGCTTATATAATATATGCAAACCATAGCATAGTCCATACATCGTAGCCTCTTATAAAATTTAATCAGAAAAATATATTTATTCTTTTCATAGCACGTCCAACAATTATTGAATTAGCACCATATTTACATCCTAATTTTAACAATAGTGTATGATTGAGGAATGAGGATTCCAATTGTACTTAATTTATTACGGTCGTATATTGTAGTTGAAAACAATATCATAGCTAAATAATAAAATTATGTTGACAATATTATATTATTTTTAAACGAAATTAATTCATGTTGTTAATGCAACAATTTATTATTAAAATAATAATGAAAAAGCCAAAAAAAACATGCCTGTAGCGTATACAGGAATGTGTAGGAACGAAAAAAAAATATATTTATTTTACGTTCGATATCTACCACAGGGATTGGATGGAAGTTATATTATAAAAAGTAAAATTACCGACTATATTCATTATAAGTTATAACAGTTATAACAGTTAGATAGATGTTGTTTTCAGTATTAGTAGGTATTGTACAATATTATATTCATTAACAGTGGTGCAATTATCTTCTCAAAATCCAACTTTAATTTAAGCACCCCCAAGTTCCACGACTTTATAATTTCAAATATCTAAAATTTTAACAATAATTCAGGTAATTTTATTTTTTAAGATTTTAGTATTTTACTATCAGACATCAGTTATTTTTGTTCTTAACAGTTATCTTACATGATACATATCATCATTTATATTACAATTTACAGTATATTATTAGTTTTATTACTAATTACTATTATACTAATTCGAGTATTATAAATATCGAGAGAGACCTAGCTAATGAAATTGTACCTGAAGAAATATTAAACTCATTTGCTAGTATCGATAGAAAGGATAATATATAAAATAAGGATAAAAGGGGCGAATCACTCTTTGTTTATTTAGACGGGGAATTTCAAAAGAAAAATAACAGAATAAAATCACAACTCTCTGTAGCGAGCTGGAAACAGCTGTGAACGGGTCACCCTGACGGACGGGTTGCAGCGGTGGGCGGGGATGGGTGGATTAACGGAATGTGTGGTAGGTACCTATACGTGTGTATTATGTTATATTATTATGTGTATTATTTCCAAACCAGATATACTGCTATACATATTATAATAGAGTGCGCACACAACATGTATAATAATATTCGTCTGCAGTATACCTACTACTATACACACATACACATCCGACGAGAACCGTCGGCAAACGCATTAAACATATATTACATATTTTATATTTATGTGTGTGTGTGTACAAAATGATGCCCCCTATGGACGTAATGAAACTGAATCCCGGACGGGTTTGTTCACTTCGATGGAATGCAGCTCGGCGAGGAGCCTCGTCGTCGAGCGTTTCGTGAATATTATGCACCGCGGGTTTAAAAGCGCCGCGGCGGCGTCCGCGTCTGGCAATATCGATCGCGCGATTTTCGTTTTTCTTTTCTCCGCATATGGCTCTCGATTACCACCGATTCGTGCCTTAGATATAACAGTCGGTCTTGTATATATTATACCGCGGTATTACAACAACTATATGCAAGGCTGGGCAAGTTAACTATTTTTTTTAACTCGTTAAGTTAAGTTAATATAGAAAAATGTAAGTTAAGCTTAAAGTTAAAAGTTAACTTCATTTTTTTTTTAACTTGTAAAAGTTACAAGTTAAGTAGAAAATAAAAGTAACTTAACTTAGTTAAAAATAAGTTACTTTTTTTTTTAAAATAAAATTAACAATTATACCTACCTACCTACCTTTTTTAAAGCTAACAAATAACATAATAATTCAGTAAATCAAAAAATGTCTTACAATATTTGAATAAATGTTTGTAATAAAATTAGTTACTGTAGGTACTTATATTAATTTTGTGTATTATACTTTAATTAGGTAAATAGTAAATACCACACTACTACGGGTATTATTTATATCGACGGGCTAAGTTATCATCGTAATTCTATGAATGAATAAAAATATAATAATAAGTAATGATATTAATAATGATTAGGTATAGGTTAGGTACTGAGTAAATTGTTATATTTTTCTTTGACGCGGTTACCCCTATGATATTTCCCTCTATAATATAGTTATAAAATATTTTCTGTGAATATGCAATATAAAAACTTACTATTATTATAAATTATTATTTAATAAAATATATTTAATATTTCGGGTTTTTTTTTTATGTAATTAATTTTACAAAATTGAATTAATTTTAAATACTATGTGGTTTAGGAAAAAAATAACTTAACGTGCCAATACAATTAATTAACTCGTTAAGTTACTGAATAACTTGGGGAAAAATGTAAATCGTTAAGTTAGAAGTTACTTTTAAAAAAAAAAGTAACTCGTTATTTAACTTAGTTAAAAGTAACTTAACTTTTTAACTTAACTTTAACTTATTAACTCGTTAATGCCCAGCCTTGACTATATGTATATATATATATATATATATATATATATATATATATATATATATATATATATAGCGATGATTGCGGTATTCGTAGGCGTACCATAGTAGGGGTACCTACCTAGCTTTTACATACACAAAACAATAATAATAACATTTTATGTATGTATCCCCCTTCACCGCAGTCCGTAAAGCTTGGACGTGTGTACGGACAGAACGATTTGTAGTTGCGGCTGTAGGAGGTATAGGTACTTGCAGTGCACTACGTTTGACGTATAGGTATGTTGTACCTGTATAGGTGTATTTCGAGTCGTATCGGTAGGTAACTGAATAATAAATATTATGAAATCACGTACGCGGGAGAAATTCTTAAGACATGCGGATATCCCCCGAGGTCCACGGTTGAGCTAGGTAGGTAACGAAAACACGAGGTGTCAGCTGGTATAGTGACTACAGCAGTGAGTCATGCGTTATTGCCGTCAAGAGTTTCTAAATCCTATCGATTATCGTTTATCGTTAACGTCGAGTTAGCGTTTCCGACTCAGCGATTATTAATATCGTTAAGCTTAATGACGGAGTATCTGGTTTTTAGTGATTGAAAAACATTGCAAAAACAAATAAAACATCCACAGTTATATAAAACATTCACCAAATGTACCAAATATTAGTCTGTATCATTATATGTTCTCAATCGACATCGTTTTTGTTTTGTCGTGTTTTTACCGAATTAGTTAGGTTACCAGTACAGGTATTGGTAAGTCCGATACGACTTATTTGCAAATCATTTATAGGTACTGGTTAATATTATATTCTGTTAAAATATGTGTAATCTTATTGGCTTAATCAGAAGTTCACACACTATACATTAATTGAGTTAACTAAGGTAAAAATGATCATGTACATATTATTTTGAATTTTTTAATCCAAGAAATATTTTAACTATATAATTGTAAATTTAAGGTGGGATATACACTTTACATATTATCATGTCTTGTGTGTTCGACTTGATCGTGTATATGTGAACTACTTTCGATTTTAAATCGTGGGCACGAAATCCACTTTCGTCGATCAAAATTATGAAAACTGGTTGATTATTTGTATTTTGTGAAAAATGTATACAATTATACATCTCATATTATCGATATAAACAGACAATTCTTTCTCTTATTTAATTTATAAGTTGTATGAAGCTCCAACCTATCTGAATTATTCTCCTCGATTACTTGGAACAAAAATATTTGGTTTCCACCAATATAATATAATTGTTTAAATCTATACGGCCAATAATTACGTATACTCTACGAATCGCGGACATCCCCCCCCCCGACTGTTTTCGATGTAGTAGGACATTTCCTCCCCACCATTATATTTTTGATTCTGATATTTTCCCTCCATTTTTTTTTATAGTTTACTATTTAATAATATAATATTATTATTTAATATGAAATTAATTTATGCCTATTGTCTAATATTTTCAAATATTTTCATAAATATAATAAATTATCAACTGAATCAATTGACTCAAATTCACAAGCAATTATTAAATTGTTCAATATTTAAACTGGTACAGTTTTAACAAAACATAAATAAATAAATAAATAAATATGAAGAAAGACTAAAAAATATAAGTATTTAAATATAAATATAAGTAAATATTATAAGTTAAGAATAACAAAAGAATCAGAATTAAAATGTTTTTTACAAAATGTATCATTTTTATTAATTATTAATTATATTTTACTTTATACCTACTTATTTTATTTTATTGTTTCAAGTAATAGTAGTTCAGTTGATTGAACATATACATTTATAATTTATTATATTTATGAAAATAAAAACAATTTTTTATATTTTATATTTTATTTGAAAAAAAAAACTTTCATATAAAATAATATATAATATAATATTATTAAATTCAATATTATTAGTCAATAATTAATTTAAAAAAATTGGGGGGAAGGAAATGTCCGCATCAAAAATATATCGGGGGGATCGAATGTCCTACTACACCGAAAACAGTCGGGGGGGATGTCCGGGGGGAAAATGTCCATTTGGCATTTACCATACTCTACTACTCTAAATACCATTAATACCTTTTAGTCTTTACCTATACTTAAATTTTCAATATAGGTAGGTACTCAGCATATTACATGGGATTTCACTTTTTATTGAAAATTACGCACGAACTATGCGATATATCATATTTAAGAATCGGAACGAATGTTAGGATCGTGCGATACCGTCGACAGCT